TTTGAACTTAAAAAAAAATGTAGTGGGATTATTAAAAATTAAAAAAATTACATTTATGATATAAAATATTTTAGACTAAGAAATAGGGATGAGCAAAAAAAAAAACGAACCAACCAAAAAAACCGACCGAAACCGAACTGAAAAATCAATTAACCAAACTGTCGGTTCGGTTTCGGTTCGATGTTTACTGAACCAAAGCCAATCAAAAATACTAGAAATCTGGCTAGCTCGGATCAAGTTGGGTTGGGCTAATTGGTTTCATCGGTTTGATGAACAATCCTAGCTGAAATTAATTATTGTTATTTTTATATTATAGAAAATTATTAAAATTAGTATATAGAATATAAATAATTATTAATTATTTTAAAAAATCAAATATGAAACAATTGTGCTCTTATCAATATATCTTTTTATTAAAGCCCTTACATCAAATGGGTTCCACTAATCTATATATAAAGAGGGGGTATTAGGGTTTCTAATGTCATACCATTAATCTTTATATATACACTAAAAGGGAATGTGCCAAGTTGACACTTTTCTATTTTGTGGTTTATTCTTAAAGTTATTTATCTTTTTTTTTTGGTTTATTTTTAACTTTATAATTGTAAAATTGAACAAAATAATTCAAGTGACCAATCACCTTTAAGACTTTTAACACTCCTCATTAATACATCATTAACTCTCTCCAACCTCTCTCTCTCTCTATCACACACACATCTTTTCTATTTATTCTTTTAATAATCTCTCCTCATTAATTATACTATTAACTCTCTCCTTCAATAACTCATGCCACTAATATTCATTTCAATTGCACACACACACACACACACACACACACACACACACAAGTTATATTTGCATTAAAATGTAATTATTAGTAAAGATTAATTATATTAAAATTTAGATATCAATATGATATATTATTATGCTAAATAATATACTTCCTTTCAAAATTATAATTCATTTATATTCCATTTGAAAATAATAAAATTAATCAACCATAATAGAAATAATTTAGTAAGTTACTTAAATAAAATAAAATAATTATTAATTATTGTTATTGATAAAAATATTTTTATTAATATAATAAAAAGAATTTAATTAATAAAAGGAATAATATAAATAAAAAACTAATATCAATTTAAAATTAATATAAAACTAATACAAAATTATCAAACAATTATTAGTTTTATAATCAAACTACCCTTATGGTTTAACTAATTGACCAACTTTACCCTTACTGTTTATATATTGTCTTGAAGTACCCCCTAAGTTTTCTGACAATTGACTAAGTACTCCCCTAACGTTAGGGTTCCATCACAATTCATTTACGTGACACACCACGTGACTGTTATATTTTAAGAAAATGACAATAATATCCTTTTTTACCGATATTGATCTATCGTTAAAACCTTTTCCGGTGCTGCGGTGTTTTCAGTATCTCTCTCTCTGGTGAAGTTTTGAAATCAGCCAACATTAGTAAACCGTTTTCGGTGGAAACTAGCTAACATCAAATATTCAAAACATTTCGGTATTGCTCATTTTCTCTACAAGTTTTTTGAAGTCACCCTTCAATTCAGTGTGTCATGAATTAATAAATGATGGGTGGGTGTGAGGACCAAGGATAAAAATCTTGATACGATGTTTGATACGGGGCATATTGCATCGGTATCATTAGTGAACGATATTGGATACACTACGACTGGCATTGTGTTGTGCCAATTGTGCGTATTGGCATGACATGATGCTGTATCGATGCATATCACATCATATCGACTGATACGGGCTGATGTGTGTCATGCAAATGGATATGCGCACAATTCCAATATTAAAAATGCAACTAACACAATTCGAACCCAAGTTTAAATGCTAAGCGCTTAGTATCTTAAGCCACTATGCCACTTTTTAATTTGTGATACGAATACGTATATGCTTTGGAAACACATGTATATGGACGAAAGATATGAAAATACATGGATACACTAGAAAAATACATACAAATTTCATAAATACATCAATTATACTAACTTTAATTAAGATCAAAATAACCACAAACAAAGTATAAATACATAAGAAATGTATATTTTAATGGTGTATATAAAGAAATATATTACAATAAATATAATGGAATGTATAGATATCATACAATTTTGTTGATAACCCATCAATCAAGAGTCCAAGACATTTTATATAGATCTTTACAAATTAACACATGCATAAAAACATTATTATGTTATATTCTATTTAAGTCCAAGAAATAAAACATATACAATTATTATATTTTAATTACTATATCAATTATTTTTTATTTTACTATGTATAGATATCATACAATTTTGTTGATAACCCATCAATCAAGAGTCCAAGACATATTATATAGATCTTTACAAATTAACACATGCATAAAAATATTATTATGTTATATTCTATTTAAGTCCAAGAAATAAAACATATACAATTATTATATTTTAATTACTATATCAATTATTTTTTATTTTACTATTTTTTTACTTTTTAACATTAATGAAAAAAGTCAATTAAATATTAAATTTTGAAATGTTTGATAAACAATATATTTCTTTTTGTAAATAATAAACTTATTATAAAATGTAATTTAAAATATCAGTTGATAATTTATAAAATATATAATCTTAACTTAAAATATTTCATACCTATATATTGAAATTTTTAAAATACATATCATACACAAATTCATAATTTTTAATTACTAAAATAAGTATTCTATTATTAACATTTTTATTTCAATAAATTTTCTGAAATAAGAAATCATTTTTATATAAATTTAAATTAGTGTATTTGATATATTCAATATAATATTATATGTTTGAATATTTTGTAAACAAAATTTTTAATTTTTATAAATAATAAATATGTTATTTAATTTTTATAAATAATATTATATATATGTATCTATGTATGTATGTATGTACAAATGTATGAATTTTAAGTACTAAAATAATTATTCTATTATTAATATTTTTATTTTTATAAATTTATTGAGAGTGAAAAATCAATTTTTGATATAAATATAAAATTGGTAGAATTTTTATTTCATTTATAATTATAAATATTATTTTATTTAATTTAAAGTTAAAATTGTTGAACATATTAATATTTAATATGGCATTTCTTTAGATTGCATGATTACAATTAAGATAATAAAAGTAATTATGTTTCACTTATAATCACAAGTTAGAGAGTGACTTAATGCCTTAAGATGCTAAGCACTTAGCGTTTAAACTTGGGTTTGAATCGTGTCACTTGCATTTTTAATATTGGAGTTGTGCGCATATCCATTTGTATCAATGCGTAATGGTTCGTATCGATCGGTACGATGCGATACACACCAATACGATATCGTATCGTGTCAATATGCATAACTGGCACGATACAATGCCAGAGGTAGAGATGGAGACGGAAATGGAAGTGAAGTCAGAGATGGAGACAGAAAACGGAGACGAAGATGGAGCAATGATCTACTTTCTTTGGGTTTTATTTTAAAAATTTGAGGAATAATGGAGGGCCAATTGGACATTTTGTTTTTTCCATTAGCACTTAACGACAATGTCAATTGTTAGAAATAGTAAGAACAATTTTAAGACAATAYGTAAACAATAAGGGTAGAGTTAGTCAATTAGCTAAATCATAAGGGTAGTTTAAGAAATTTGCCCTAAATTTTATTAATTTAAAACCAACGTAAGTTCCACTAAAAATAAAAATTTATATAAATTCCATATGGAATTTAAATTTAATAAAAACTTAATATACTTAAATAAATTCAAATTGTACTAATTTTAAAAATTAATAAAAAATGTTAATTTTAAATATAGTTTAATTATTTTAAAATCAATTTAAATTCCATTTAAAAATAAGGAAAATTATAAAAACCTCTTTGGGTTTTCTAACAATCCTATGAAGATCCCCAGTGTTTTGATCTTAACAAAACCTCCCCTATTATATTGAAAAAAGATGCAAATGCCTTCCTTTCGTTAGCATTCCAAAAATAAAAATGTTGATGTAATATAATGCATTAATTTTATTCCACTTCAGCCTTTTTACCTTATTTTTTGAAAGTTATAGGAAAAAATAAATTAGTAAAGGATAAGGTTGAAACTTTAAATTATTTATAATAATGCATTAACAATAATAAGAATTCAATGCCTTTGTTATTGAAAAGCCAATGGAAATGTGGTATTTGCACTTTTTTCTCAAAACTATAGGATAGGCTTTTGTTAGGGTCAAAACAGAAGGGTGGTTTATAGAATTGTTTTAAGCGAATGCTTTTTTTATAATTTTACCTAGAAATAATACAATAATAATTAATAAAAAAAATCTTTTTTAAATTTATCTAGAGAATAAAAAATTGACCACTCTCATTAAAGTACAACTTAAATTATAATTGAATAAACTAGACAACCCCAAAAAATAACACTTGAATTAAATTTAGATGAACACTACTTAATTAGAAATGTCATATTACTCCATCTTCAATTTTACTTATAAATAAATCCCGTGCTCGACACGCGGCCTCGCATGCACGGTTGAATGTGTAACAGTGTAAGACAGTAAGAGGCAGTGGGGCGCGTTTAACGGGGAACCCGTCCGAACTAGAAACTAACAGGCCCTTCTCCTTTTCTTTTTCACACGATTCAAATTCATGGATCATCATCAATCTGGATCTGGGCTCGTCAGTGACAGTCGATTCCTCACGATTTTCATTTCATCGATCTGGGCCAGTCAGTCGTTCAAATGGGGCCCATTTAATCTCCTCATCAATTGGATCCCCATCATCGTAACATGACACGTGGACAATAACTTCGCTCCGACGCTCCCCAAAGCAAAACAAAATGCGATATTACGATTACATACAGACACAGCTTGTTCACTTGTCTTGTTCATTAAGTCCAATCATTGTAATTCCCAACGGTCATATTTTCAAAATCCCTATCCCTATCCCAAACCCTGATATCTTCTTGACCGTTTTGTCTTCCTCTTTTAGCTTTCTTGTTCGGCTTCTCTCTCTTTCTCTCTCACCATGAAGACCCTTTAACCGATCTTCCTCACTAGGGAATTTCAACGTCTCCGAAGTCAAGCAGAGATCTCTCTAATGGGGTGCTTTCTTGCTTGTTTTGGTACTAAAAAGGATCGAAAACGCCGCAGGCCGGCGAAGAGAGTTCTTCCTGGAGACCAAGTAATCTTTCTCTCTCTCTCTCTCTCTCAGCTCTGTAATTTTTCGGTTTTTATTATAACGTCTTTTGATTTTATTAGTTCATTAATCTTGTCGGTTAAGCAAAGTTATCTCGTGGGGTCTTGAATTTTGTTGCAGAGACATGGAATTTACGAACCCTTGCAACCGACTGTCTCTTTAATGCAGGACATTGCATCAAAACCCATTAGCTCTGTTTCAGAATTGGGGTCAGTCTGTTACCGATTTCAATTTAGTTTTTTTTTTGGATTTTTTTTTTAATTTTTCTGTAGTCATCTTACAGCATCTGTCTTTGTAGAGGTAAACCCGAGGAGCAATTGAGCTTGAGTACCAGAAAGAAAGTTACCTTTGATTTGAACGTGAAAACCTATGAGGAGGTTGTAACACATGAAACTGTAAATTATGCATCAGAGAGCGATGACAAGAAAGAAAATGGAAACAAAGAAGAAGAAGAAGAAGAAGAAGAAGAAGAAGAAGAAGGAGAAGAAACAGGGAAATCCAAGCAATCGTCGGTCTCAGAAGATGATTCAGTCACTTCCAGCTTGGGATCTTACCCTTCAAACCACAGATACCAGAATTGCAGGGACAGCGACGATGAAGCTGATGGAATAGAATCTGATGAAAGCGATCTGGATGACGACGACGACGACGAAGACTATAACGATGATGAGGAAGACGATGTCCGAGGAGTACCTGTAGAAGAATCTTCCGAGTCATTTTTCTCGTTGCCGATGGAATCTCGGAATCATACTTGCCCAACTCCACCATTCGAGAAGGAGGTTAACAGCCCTATGCCGACCTGTGGTTCACCTGGTCGGGAGCTCAAGACACTTCGGCCGACCCAAAACACTCGAGACAGGAGCCAGTATGTTAATTCCGTACTGAATCCAGTTGAAAATCTCACTCAGTGGAAAGCTGTTAAGGCAAGAACAGCGCCACCATTAAAGCAGCATCAGACGAAGGAGAATATTAATTTTGAAAAAGAACCAGAAATACCCTTCAGCTCAGAACCTACTTTCAAACCATTGCCTCTCAAACCAAACTCAAATTTCAATCATTCAAAGCCACCTAAACACGAAATCGCAGTTGATGCCAGCCTTTCTAACTGGTTGGGGTCATCCGGAACCACACCCATCACCAAAACCAGCAACGATGTTGTCCGCTCTGAGCAATCTGAGAAAAGCATTTCACAACGATCAAATTCACCAAGAAGTTATGAAGATCGACCAATTTTAGGTGCATTAACCATGGAGGAGCTCAAACAGTTGTCAGCATCGTCATCTCCAAGAAGGTCGCCAAGTCGTAGCCCAGAAGATATGCCCATTTTAGGCACTGTTGGGAGTTACTGGAATCATACAGGCCAGGCCATGGATTCCAGCTCAGGCTCTTCTTGTAAAGGAATACCAAATACAACCAGCAAATACAGAGAGGTATCTTTGAAGTGAGATACATGAATGTTTCAAGACTAGATAATGGCTGTAACTGATATGAAGTTTTTTGTACATTGCAGGATAAGAGAGTGAACTGGCACTCTACTCCATTTGAGACAAGGTTGGAGAGAGCTTTGAACACAGGTTCAGCTGAAGCGTATTCAAGTTATCCTCCTAAAGTGTTCTAGACAGGAAGTATGGGATGGTCATGGAGTGAGGTTTCTGTGTGTGAAGGATATTTCTGTGTATGGAGATAATGAGGGTTGGTGGGGAGTGTGTGAAGGATGTTGTTTATTCATAAAAAAAAGAAGGATGTTGTTTGTTTTCGGTACTGCAAAGGATTTATGATTTGGTTGTGTTATTATTTGTTATTGGTTTTAAGATATAATAGTAATAAAAGAAGAAATTCCTTTTGTCGTTTATTTTCATTCTCAATGATTTTTGTTATTGGTTTGTTCTTTCTGCTGCAAAGGAAATATGATCTGTCCCCTGCATATTGGGTGAAGCTCTGTTTATTGGTGGTTTTGAAGCAGGGCAACCGTTGGACTTGATTTCAAAAGAACGCGCATATCAATCATCATCATTGTTTTGAGCCAGGGATGAATTCTGAGCAAAAGATGTTGAGGAAAAGTAGGAAACATAAGGTGGTTTTTCCAATGTGTACAATTTTGTTTTTCAAATCAAAAACTGAAAAACAACTGGTATATCGGCAAAATCAATAGAAATATAAGGTGGTGGGTGTTATATAACTCGATCTGTTCAGGCTTCCTAGTAGTGCGAGTACACTCACTGAATCATAAGCCCCTTTTGACCTTTTCACCATTTTTGATTTGCTGAATTTCACATTTTTCTAATTAGAGCAGAGAATTCAAAGAAAAGAAGAATTGTTCATGGGAACCTGGGTAGAATGGGGTTGATAGAATTGTTCATGGGAATCACTCAGAATGCTTACTGTTAGAATACTAAAATGTTCAGAGTAAATACTCAAAGCTACATATGTTAACACAATGATTGCAAAGGCGAAGAATAAACTAGTCATTAGAAGACTGTACCCTTTGAATTTTAGGTCAAAGCGTGCCAAATATCAAACTGTTCAAATGCTGGAAACAAATGCTGCTCAGGAGCCCTATGGCACTAGTCTCTGGAAAGGAACCGTGCAGAAGAGAGAGGGCTTCTTCAACCAGGTCAGTTTTAAACTTAGAAATAGGGAAGAATTACTGTTCTGGAAGGATAATTGGTGTGGTTCTTCTTCTTCTCTCAGTTGAGCTTTTCCAAGCATCTATTCTCTGGCAGCTGGTAAATCTGGCCAAGGTCAGTGACTGCTATGAATCCCTGGTGGCATGCAAGTCTGGAACCAGATTGGAATATTGAGTCTTTGTCAAACATGCTGCAACTGTTAGATGATTGGAATAAAATAGTCATTAGAAGACTGGTATACCCTTTGAATTTTAGGTCAAAGCGTGCCAAATATCAAACTGTTCAAATGCTGCTCAGGAGCCCTATGACACTAGTCTCTGGAAAGGAACCGTGTAGAAGAGAGAAGGCTTCTTCAACCAGGTCAGTTTTAAACTTAGAAATAGGGAAGAATTACTGTAATGGAAGGATAATTGGTGTGGTTCTTCTTCTTCTCTCAGTTGAGCTTTTCCAAGATTCTCTGGCAGCTGGTAAATCTGGCCAAGGTCAATGACTGCTATGAATCCCTGGTGGCATGCAAGTCTGGAACCAGATTGGAATATTGAGTCTTTGTCAAACATGCTGCAACTGTTAGATGATTGGCATATGTGGCTGGTTAGGGGAGAAATCTGTAAGATGTTCACAAGCCTGTCTGCTAATCCAGATTCATAAGTAGGTGCCTTCGTTTTGGATTGGTAATCTTTTTCTTGTGGCTGGCGCTAAAAGGAAGGTTACAAACCATTGATGTCCTGCAGTCCAGACTCCAGAGGCGTGGTTATTGTTAACTATTGCTGTCTTTTGTGGTGCGGCGGAGGAAAAAAAATTGGTCCCACATCATTACTCTGTTTGGTGTAGTTTGGGTGGAGCGGCCAGACGTTGAAACCCGGGATCTGTCAGAGTGAGGCAAAGTTGTGTGGAACATGATGCCTGACTACCTGTGTATGCTGGTCTGTTTGGAAAGATAGAAATGGTAGAACCTTTCAAAATCAAGCCTTACCAATCGAGAAGTTATGCGGTAAGGAGGAAAGGCTGTTGGTGAAATGGGCTAGCATGGGCCTCAAGTGGTCAAACGATGACTTTGTTTTGTTTTGTAACTCTGCTGTTTTAGTTTCTGGTTGCGGTGTTTGAAGCCTTTGTAGAAGGGAACCTCTCCCTTGCTCATCTTTTCTTTGTTAATGAAAATTTGCTTCTCCTTTCAAAAAAAAAAAAGAAATTTTACTGTTCAAACTAGACGCCCATTGGCAGTCCTTGAGATTATTGCATCACTATATATTCGTTTAGGCTCAGTTTGGAAGGAGTACACATACAAATATGTGGAGCGCAAAGGTTTGCATTTTGTATGTATAATTTGTACTGTACATATTTGTATTTGTACTCTTTCCAAACTGAGCATTAGTGGTCAAATTCATAAAGACCAAGACAATTTAAAACCTGCTGAGAAATAAGGATTGACTGGATGAAAGTGAAATTACAGAAAATTGTTCAACATTCTAGAAATACACCTGTACAAATATGTATTGCATGATACAATGGAGCACTACTTCATTACAGAGGACTTCTTGGTGATTCCAAAAGAACCAGAGGAGAAAGAAAAGTTGTGCAAGGAGCCATCCATCAATTGGTGTAATGATAAATCTCCTGCTGACAAGCTTGTGAATGTGGGTTTAGACTTTAGAGTCTAAAGGCGGTCTCTTTGTGCAAAAAATTGCCAAGCTTAGGTCCATACAAATCCACCTCTCCCAAGGCCATAGACGAGTGAATAGAATAGAAGCTGCTGCATCATTAAACATGGTATTTTGCTGGAATGTGAAGACTACATGTATTTAAATCATCTAATGTATTGTACATCATAGGTTTACACCTTGTCATAGGCTCGTAGCTGCTTCCATTTCAAGGTCAAATTATACATACGGAATCTGCTGATATGCTTGACCACATAAGCACCAATTTCACAATAGAAACAACCTTCTCTCTGGTGCAATAAATAAAGATAATGCTTGAAAAGGAGAATGAAAGGCTTATGATCCCTTGATGTAGGTGAGCCATAAACAATGAACATGCAACATCATGGTGGTGATTCTATTATTCCAATAAATCACTTATTGGATGTGATTTACATTATCTTACACATACAAGAATCTGAGTCTTCATCATCTGAGTCACTTGTATCACTGAAATTAAAAATACAAGACATGAATGGGATTAGGATAAAATAAAAATGAGGTGCAAAGAAATAACTCCATCAGGATAATTTTCCTATTTTGAAATTTGTGGCAGCAAAACCAACAAAGGTTGGGCTCCAGATAATTTTAAGCAAAGTAAGATCATAAAGATTAAATAACTCAAGGCAGAACCATAGTCATGCATTTTGATGATTAAAATTAATCCATATAGACCTAAGTTCCAGTTCTATGAAGGCCACGATCTGGCTCAGACTCTTGTTCCACCAAACAAGACATGCATGTATTTCCAGCTTTTCTGCATTGAACCAAGAAAACAAGAAATTAACTGTGTCTAATAAGGATTTATCAAATGTTGGAACCTTAAATAACATAGTGTAAGACAAAAATTTTAGGAAGGACAAAAGAATACTTTTATAGAACTTGATCCACCACAAGAAATAGAGATACACCTTTACCATGTTGTTTATTGGGGAAATTGCTAAATAGAGATCAACAACAATGAGATTTACCATGAACTGCGATCTTTCTTCCATAGTTAAATTTGAGTGGATGATTCTTTAGGAAAACAAATAAACCAGAACAAAAATCAAACTTGATAGGAACAAGAATTTGGATATAGGTTGGCAGGAAGAACATGATCTCATTGGTAACTAATTACGCTTGCTCTGCCAGGTTTCATGGACACCCTAAACGGGTTATGTGATATATCCATAGGCCAACATTTATATTGGCAAATAGGAGGCTTCCAAGTCTATGCCCAAGTATACTTCTTTGTCATTATTGCTGTCTTGTTAGGCTCAGCCACTATAGCTGTGAGCAATCCACAAATGATTCTGACCACTGGTCAGAATTTCTTTGAATCCCAAATTGCATCTAGGGATCCTTTACCCATGCTGAAAAATTTCCTTGCCAAGCTACAAGAAACAGATACGCAGAAGTCCATAGGAAAATCACTGCTAATTGCCCAAAGTGAGAAGCAAAATGGATCACCTAGGATCTCTTATCTTGATGATTCTTCTGTTTCAATCAGGTGGAGGAATGACCCAAGAAGACATAGGGCCACATTGCCACATGTTTGGTCCCAGCCCATATTAACTATATAGCCACCTAGAATTGGACTTTTCTCCAAGTAAGACAAGTTA